AGAGTGTGTGTGTTCTGTGAAGTGTTTTCTCCTGTTATGTCGCTCCACTTAGGGCACTACTAATTGTTTTATAGTCTTTCTTGAATCATTTGGCCTTGTAAAGAGTAAGTAAATGCAAATTGTGTGTAACGTTGGTATGTAAATTTAGTCGTGAAGCGTTGTCACGATATGTAAAGTAGACAGATGGCGTTGCATACTACGTGCGTTCAATATCACTTCTTTTGGTTATGTGGACCCAACAGAGATGGGTTAAATGCATAATATATTATAGTGTAGGTGAATTATCATATCAAAGCCTCTGCACTCTCACCAAATTCACGTTCATAAAGGGCACCATAACTTTACTCAGTTTGGAACCAAATGAAGGGCAATGAGGGAAACGTTGCGTGCGCACCTGACGATAATAGAGAGATTAGTGTTGATCCTTCCTTTTGAGCTCTCAATGGTACACACCAGAAGAGTGAAGTTTTTATACAGAGCAAAAAGCGGCAGCCTTGACAGTGCTTGGTTTAGGATGTAATAATTCAAGCTTATAGTTAAACGGGGTTTGAGGACTGTTCATGTTGCATCAAAAGTGGTTGTATGTGAAGAACTTGAAAGCAGAGCTTCTTGAAAGAAAATGGCACCTTACTTACAGGATTATAACGTATAAGAAGCTTGCCGTTAACGTGACATATTTACTCAATTTCAGTGAGACAACTGACTACCCCCTTCCTCCTTACCCCCTCCCCCTCTCCCTCCCCCGCCCCCATCCTCACCTGCCTTATTTGCACTCAAATCAACGCGTTCCTTCTGCATCACAAAACCCATTAAACGATATTGCACCGAAAACATGCAGACAAGCGAAAGAATGAATACTTGTTAGGGGATATCCTAGTCTGGTTTAAATAAAGGAAAACGTAACCTAAGATTATGCTCATTATTTTCCAACCAAGCGCCTCTGAATTTCGACTCGAGGGAGGTCTGAATTGTTGATTAGAATGTAGGTCGAAGACTTTGCGTAGAGTAGGTTTATGGTAAGGTTCTGTTCACGGTAAGAAAGCGCCAAGCACGTCGGGAATTTTTTTGTTCTAAAAAAAAATCACCTTGCTCCACCAAGCAGTGGGCATTAACACTTGGTGACAATTTACTACCCTTCATCCCCTTCCCCATCCCTTCCCCATCCCTTCCCCATCCCTTCCCCATCCCTTCCCCATCCCTTCCCCATCCCTTCCCTTTCCCCATAAAGTAAAAGCAAAAACAAAACAAATTACACCAGCTGTTGAATGTCAGTGGCCGTGACCTAAAGGAAATGACGTCAGTTTCTGAGGCCGAGGTCAAACTATTACTTTTAACGAATGGTGTTTTCCGTCAGGTAAAACCCATGATTAATCTGCGGGCCAAGATGTAAGAAGAAAGTGTATTTAAAATTCATGTGATCTTAACTCTAAGACACTGCGTCCGTAGTCCTACAATTTTATTGGTGGTGACAGCTGGATAGACCTTTGTTTCGTTGGGGAAGGTTTTACTTTAACAACTTTCGTTCACTAAGTTGAAGAATATGCACACAGTAGGAATACCATAAATGGGAAAAGAGGGGTATAAATACTTTATTAGCTGCTAATCTACATGCTTCAGGTTTTGTGATGATCGTGTAAGGTAAACCATTGATGTTTCGCCACTTTCAACGCTCTAGGTTTAGTCTGAAGATGGGTCATTCGAAGTTAACGGCCATTCAACGAACGTCAGATCTGGGATTTGAACGAGAATCATCCTCACAGCAATTCAGTTGATAAAATCTGAGCTAATGGTGTCGAAGTGGTATACTTAAATTGAATTTACAGTCCGGCTCAGGCAATTACTCCGAGGTCTTGTTAGCCATTTGCTTTATTGGATACAGCACTATAACTAGCATTTGATCACATAAATTGTAATGTCTGCTTGCCTGTATCTTCTCGATCTCACATTTTAATTATCTTTTGATTATTTATATAGTTTTGATTATTTCATCTAATATCTTTAATCCTAAAACAACAACCTCACCCCCACCCCCCCAAAAAAGCAATGTCCATGGCAAGAAATATAGATATAATCTTTTTTTTCATTCATTCTTTTAGATTTCGAAAATTGTCAATCCCACAGGCACAGATTAAACTTTCCTCTAGTGTTCCTCAATCTGACTTCCCCTTCTTATCTTTCCGCTGGAGTATTCTCTGTGTCTACTCAATGGATATTTTCCTTCAGGCCATCCTTTTACTGATGTCGTTTTCAATTTACGTGCTATCTGATCCTTATTTCCTTTCCCTATTTTACCTCCCATATTTGCCTATCTTCCGCAGATTCTTTCACTCGGATTGTTCATTTCTCCGACCATTATATTGGAAGCGTCTCCTCTGAAGGTAATACCCAACTACTTTTTTTTCACTTTTCTGTTATAACGGCGTTTGAGTAACGCACGGTGTGCCTTTAGCGTATAATTATTAGAAATTCATTACGTGCTTCCAGTGCGGCTACGAATTTCCAAACTGAAGTAATTCTTTTTTATGGGCATAACCATAGATATCTGAGAGTCTGTGGGACAAAGTACCATACTATGTTTCATTGAACACATTTTCAGAAGACTGGCTTATTCCAACCGACCTCAATCAAAGAAAAAAGTCCACAAGCGATTGCTTTCGCATGGGTGTACTCCATAAACAAAAAAACGTAAAAGTATCTGTATGCCCACTCGAGGATATCGTTGCAATGATCTAGTCTACAAAGTTTGACGCCCATTGCTGTGAATAAAGACAATAGTGAAACAAATGTCCTATTTGTATACTTGCAGCCCTGTGATAAGTAGACATTTTCCTAGTGTGAGTGGAGCCTAAAGGAAAAGTACAGTTACTTGTATAACTTAGGTTCGCGTACATGACATCCACAGTTACTTGGATACAAGTGGAACTCGCCTACGAGAAATTCACAGTTACTTGGACAATACGTTAGATTCCTGTAAAGAAAATTCACAGTTAGTTGGACACCAAGCTAGATTCGCCTTTAGGAACTTCATAGTTACTTGGAGAATACGTTTGATTCCTTCAAAGTTATCAACATTTCAGATTGGCTTATAGGGTGATGCCTCTATTTAAGTATTTCTCCCTCTTTTAGCTGCGCTTTCCTGAATGCTCTTATGACTCGTCTCTTCTTCCTCCCGCCCCTTCTCCATCTGAATTTCCCTGTAGTTAGATTTATTTTCTGTTCGTGCCCAGTATGTCTCTTATTTCTTTGCCTTTCTCTCATTTTAGTTATTCTTTTGGGGCGATCACCGAACTTCCCATCACCTGTTCTTGTGACTGTTCCTTAAAGAAAGCCATTTTGTGTGTGCCATGATTTTTGTCCCGTGTGTATTCTTCTTTTTTTTTTGTTGTAGCTGTTGTTTTCTATTTTAGAGGTACGGTGGTGGTGGTGGTGGTGGTGGGGGGG